GTTCAGCAGCCACGGCCCAGCCCTCCTCCCAGGGCTCAGCTCCTGCCTGTGTGATGGTGAGCAGCACCACGACACGTGTTGCTGTGAGACCAAGGAGCACGCTGGCTCCCTGAGGGTTCTGATCATTCCTCTTTGGACTTAGCTGCAAAAAAAAAGAAACATGCTGAGGAGCAAGTGCTGCTCGGTGCAGGTTGCCCACAGGAGGCCCAGCAGCCTTACAGGATTTGATTTTTTAAAGCGCTTGGCTGTGGTCCCTTCCTCTGCACTTGTACCTGCTCGTTGATGGTGAGGGGCACAGGACACGTGACCTTCAGAGCATTTCTCTGGTCAGAGCAGCTGGATCAGGGGTTTAGCACAATGGCGTCTGCAGCCACACTTCACGTGCAGCCTCAGCCAGCAAGAATTGTGGCTCATCTCATTTACATTGCCTCTTGGCTTGGAGCCACTGTAGGAAGGTAACATCAGCCACACGCCCTTCAGAGAGGCTTTTCTTTCTTTTTTTCCGTATGACTTTGCAAGAACAGCAACTGTTGCCCCATCTGCTATTTCAGTAACTGCTGTGTAGGAGAGCTCACCAGCAACTGCTCCTGCATTGCTCACCACCTCTCAAATGTGGGATTGCCAGGCACCAATGTGGAGCGATTCTTCGAGTAGAGCAGGTCCTTGTGTTTGTCCATTTTTATTCCTGTCAGCAAAGCACTTGGACTGTCACAAGCCCTTGTGATACTGATACATCTAACTGTGCTCTTAGCCATGGCCCTGTCACTCACCAAAAACTTTCACATGGGGAAAAAGTATTTTAGATTCCTTATGCTAATTATCTGTGCAAAAGTGATCTATTTAAGAACCACTTTTGGTTAACCATTTTCTAAATTTTAAGTGTGTCAATATGATCACTGAACTGAAAAATAAACTCAGGCCTTTTTCTACTGGGCTGCTTCAGGAGGCGTTGGGTTTTGCAGCTGGAGAGCAAGCTGAACCCACTCACGTGCCTGCTCGCTGCAGTGACGTTCCTGTGGTGGGGACTGGGACTGACCAAAAAGCACCCAAGGAAGGTTTTTTCAGTACAATTATGAAAAAGAACATAAAGGATGCTTTAGGAGGTATCTTTCCAGGTTCTTAACTAAATCATTGTCACAGAATTAGGCTGGTATCTGAGAGGTTTGTTTACAAAAGCAGCCCCACCGCACCGTGCCCGTGCTGGGGGAGAGCAGCGCTCTCCTGCCGGGACGGCTCCATCTCCAGCCGGTGTCTGACGGGCCAGCTCCCGACGCGAGGTGACGGGAGAAAGCCGCGGGGTGACCAGACAGCAGAGCAGCCGCGGTCCCAGGGCAGTCAGACCCGCCAGTGCCATCTAGTGACTGACGGTGTTTTATCCCCTGCCCGGACAGACCCGACAGCAACACCGGCTGCTGAGTACCAGATCTCAGCTTTTAGTGTCATGTGACCGGATTTTGAGGAGTATTTTTAAACCTTTTAACATTTAAATTGCTCCATGTTCGCACGGATTAATGCGCGCTGCTCACAACCGCCGGGACATCACACCCCCACTGACTGCATTTGCTGCTCCTGAGCTCTGAAAACACAGCAGCAGTATGACCTGCCAACAAAACCCCATGTATTTTGTAAATTCCTTATTTTGAAATGAACAGCATTAAACCCAAAATTTTCTTTTAAATACAAGGGAGTTTTCAATGGAGAAATGAATAAAGAACTACTTAAAGACTCCTAAACAGGGAACCTTCCAATTGCATAAAGCACAGAGAGGTAAGGAAGGAAGTTTCTCATCCGTTCTGTGAAAGCTCTAAAGACAGTTCAAATAACACACACATTCAGAGCACTGCCTACAAGTGTCATTGCACCAGGATACTTAAGAAGCCTTAACCCCCACATCTCTCTGAAAATAAAACCATGCCACAAAGCCTTTGAGAGCAATTTTTATTAGGGTAGCAGAATGGAATTGCAGAAAGCCTGTACCAGTACTCCTGGGTGTAGTTTCATCAGCACGTTGTTTTTATTTTGGATGTTAAACTGCACGTTCAGAATTCAGCATGGCTTAGGGAACCAGAGAGAACAAGAGCATGATTTCCTGAGTTAACATAGGACTTTGTACTTCGATTTGTTTTCTCCTCAGACTTCAACCACACAGTCCAGTATTTGATTTTTTTTCAGAGGGCTACCTACAAACAAAAGCCATCACTTGGGTTACGCATCTCGTAGTCTAGAAATTGAACTAAGAACACACCAAGAGAACTGATAGCAACATCTGTCTTCTATGAGACCTTTGCAGATGGAATAGCTGGCATAGCGCTGCTGCAGGCCTGCATGGCTCGGCTGGAGCTCCTTCAGGTACACAGCCCTTCCAGTCCCCTTCCCACGGCATCCAGGTCACACCGACAGGGGTGAAGGCAGTCTTTCACCTGAGAGGCTTACAACCAGAAGGTGTACTGCGTAGTGGTAACGAGGGCAGCGAACTAGCGAGTGCTACAGTTTTGTTTTAAATAAAAAGAAAATTTAGAGTGGCAAGTTTCCATGCCAACAGACATGATCAGAAGGTACAGTGACTCATGTGATGCAGAAGTTACACACTTCAGTTTGACAGATAATTTGGCATTATTTTATTATGAATCCAAGTGAGCGTGAATGAAACAAAATCAGTACCAACTTTCTGCAAATGAAGACACAAAGATGTGAAAATTTGGTAGCTAGACAGTGCTCTCACAAGCCTGAAAACACTTAAGAAATGCAAGTTTCCGTAAATAAGGTGAATGTGGTTTAACTTTATTTACCTGCCAAAGAACCTGTCTAAGAACACTTAAAACATAAAATTTCTTAGCTCCCTAACTGATAAAAAAAAAAAACGTACTTTCAATAGAGGTGCGGTACTGGGCTGTCATTGTTCACACTCAATCAGAAACGAAAGCCAGATGAGAGGGGTGGGTGAGGGAGCAGCAGATACACGAGACATTAAAACCAGAGGAGACCTACCGCGTGACGCTAGTTCAGGGAGGCTGCGTTAGAACCCAGTTCAGGAGCACAGAGAACCAGGCGGGCAGGCGGGATTTCCTAACCCAGCTCCCCGCATGTCACCATGACAGTGCTCCCAGATCCCTCCGGGTCTCTGGAGAGCACTCTGCTCAGTCACACGCCCCAGTCTGACAGGCGGGGAGAGGCGGCAGTTTGACTGTGTGGCAGTTTGACTGTGGAGCTATGACCACGCTTCTGATTGGGGAAAAAAAACACAGGCAGTCAGGAGAGGAGCAGCAAAGACACAGAAAGGATGCTCAGTTCTGAACAGCAAGGGCTTCCTTCAGCATGCGTAGGTGTGCCCTGGAGCAAGAGGAAAACAGCTCTGCCCGATGGAGTTGGGATGATAGAATGATGCTCGGAGTGCTCATTAAATCATCTAACGCGCATGCTCTGGAACAGGGCAGCAGGGCAGAGCTGGAGCGCGCTCTACTGCAGGTTATTGCTTCATCCCCATACTGCTTTCAGCAAGAACTGCACAGGGATCGGGCCGGGGAGTGGCACGATTGCATCCCAGGAAACACAAGATGTTACTTATGCATTCTGATGGAAAAATGTTCTAAGATGACTAGCAGTGCTTGATTTAAAAATGAACATTTCCAAAATGCTGATCCTTAACTCAAAAAACAGTTCATCGCTTTGGTACCTCCTGGTCCCCAATTTCTGGAACTCCAATGGTTGCAATGTTGTCCTGTGCACTAACTACTCTGCATAGGTATTAAGAATAGAAGTGAAAGAAGATTTTAATCACATTCCACTACTTCTTTGCTACAGATTTTTTTTTTTTCCAAAATTTTCCAAAAGTAGGACATAAGCCATATTTTAATTCAATGACGCACACAAAAACTTGGGTTTCCCCGTTTAATAAACATTTTGTAGTAACATCAGCCAGATTTACATAAGACCTGGACATTACGCTGATTGTTTTTGTGGGGTTTGTTTGCTTGTTGTTTATTATGTTACAAACTGAAGTTAAGGGGAACTTGCAACAAGTCCCACAAAGCACAGTGCAACATTTAAAAGAAAAGTAAACAAAACTGCCAAACAATCATTTTCTGCCAGAACTGGGTTATTTTTTCTAAGACATCAGTTTTGGGAGGGGGATAAAATTCACATAAGAATTAAATGAACTCAAGATAGTGGGAACTGCAAGGAAAAATAAGAAGTGACAGCCACAACCTTTTCAATTTAAGGGCAGAATATAAGTCTAAGATATTTTTGATAAATTCTGACAAGAAAAAGAAAACAGCATACTTTAAAGTATATTGAAGCAGTGATTTTTAAACAAAGAAAGCAGAACTAGAACATCTTAATTTTTAATCCTTTCTTTACAGGTTACCTAGCCCACTTTTGATTAAGAAAACTGTAGAAAGTTAGTAACAGCCACAAGTTAACACCGAAAGGTGGCACTTGTCAATTTTCCATAGAGTCCTGCTTTACGGGGTGTCTCAAATGCACTGCTCCGATCTTCTATCACACGTTGCTGACATCAACTGTGTCAGATTTTAGTCCACTGGTCGCTTCTCACCATATTTCTTTGTAAACTCTTCAGCGTTCTTACAGAATTTTTTACGGTCCTTAGAGTATTCTTCAGCTAGGTCAGCCCGAAGGGGATGCTCGGGCTGTGGATCATTCACCAGTGCTATGAGGGACTGGATTACTGTCAAAAGAAGTATAAATAACATCAGAGACTCAGATGGTTAATTTTTAAAAATCAAAACATAACTGAAATTCCCCAGAGCATGAATAAACTATTGCAATATGCCAAGATTTAGTTCAATGACTATGAATGAACACCAGAAAATTGTATTTGTAAACAAAATCAACTTGGACAGAGACCAAAATGCACTACAAATTATTTCCCATGTCACTGGCACCCTATCTGAAATACTCTCCTATGGCTAAAAGAGAAACTAAGTTTCACAGAAAAGTTCATCCACAAGGGGTCGGGTAAAGGCAGAATTTCCCCCATGAAACATTTTTCCCCCAACACCTGTCACAATGATGCAGTTGTAACTGGGGCTGCTTTTGGAAAACATTTTTTCTGCTTTATTTTTCTGTGATTCTTCCTTCCCATATGAACAGCAGACAATTCTTCCCTTTATTCTAAACTGCCAAATACATCCACTAGCAGAGACATACTGGGCAAACAAATGGCTAAGAGCTGCACGATGCTGTTTACAGCCTTCTCAGTGGCATTCTCCCGTCACATTCAAAGGAAGCGTCATTCTTAAAATAACTGAACTGTACTTGACATTTTCGCCGTGAACCTCGCACACTACGACGACTTTTATTGCTACACTTCCCTCAATACAGTCTCACAACCATTCAGAGCTGGATCGGTCACAACAGTCAGGAGTTCTCAGCCACAGACACCTTCCAGTGCATGGGCAACTGGAAAGCGGGTACACAGGAAAAGCAGTTGCCTGTATGTCAGTATTAACAATGTTCCATCTGAGGTAAATCTGAGCTACCCAGAGGAATGGGAAGCAGCATCCCAAGAGTCCTGCAAGCAAGAGTACTCAAACTGCCGAGTCCCTGAGTGGCAGAGCGGTGCCACCTGAGCCGCCGCCAGCCCCACAGGGCTCCAGCCCGCGCCCTGACACCGCCACCGAGCCGTCCGCCGCCTCGCCCTAGGCTGGAAGGCGAGTTCTGACAGCACTTATCACTCCTGTAGGTGCTACAACACCAGAGTGGCTTCTTGCAGAGCATCAATCTTCTCACGCTCATACGCGACAGAACTGGAGAACACACCCCAAAACAGCCACTCAAAATCCAGAGACACAGGATTGTCTCTATACTGCTGAGCAGGAATAGTTCCTACCACAAAGAGTTTAAACTGAACCAACCGTCTAAGGAATGCAGAGTTGCTATTAGCTTACTTCACAGGAACTCGCCAGTCCTGGACTCATAACAGCCATCATCACATTAATGGTTATTTATGAAGCTAGCATCAGGGCTGCACATGACAATCCCTTTTCACTCGGTGAAACATGCTAGAACACTGCAGACAAAGCATCACTGTGTTATTAAAGTTATTTAACACACAAGCCACAAAAAAATTAGGATTGTCATAACAGGAGTTGCCTCCATATCCACAGCATTTTAAAACTGTACTATCACAATGGACTGGTTTAATATTAAGCATGAATTAATAAAAAGTACAGCAGTAAGATGCATATTTAGTACATGAAAGGTGAGTTAATGATTTATGATAAACGTAATATCTCCACTTTCTTGACACCTGATCAAAACCACTCTTTTTGATACTGTACAAATAATGGTGCATTATTTCCTTGATAATGGCCCAAGCAGCAAACTTGGAATAAAAAAAATAAAGTTTTTCAGTGCAGAAGGGTTCTGGAGAAAAAGGAATAGACATTTAGGCGGGGCTGCAATAACATCATTGCGGGTTCGTACAATGACAGTAACAAAGGCTGACAGTGAAACAACTTCTTGAAGAGTTAAACAAAACCACAAAACAGCAGAAATTGGGAGAGTTGCAATATTTTGGTACCCAGAGTTTGTTCCAAGTTCCAATTTTAGCATAATTTTTATTAATTATCTCAATTAAAAACAGAATGTCTGCTTCTCAGGGAGACATTGACTATTTCCTGCACAGAAACAATAGCTTCAATAGTTCAAGGTAATGCCAACCTGCATCTGAAGCTAGTAGAGACAAGTCATTCCTCTACTTGACTAACAAAGGCTCCTAAAATTAAAACAACTGAAATGGAAACCTTCACATTGTTTCCATTTCACCTCTCCTAAGGATCTTTGTCCTTTATCATCTGGGATAAATCAACAACAAATCATGAGATCTTCACTGACCTATTTGACTTTAACAGGCTCTTTTTCTGCCACTTCTGCTTTCCCCAACATTTAACTGTTTGATCTGTTCTGAAACAACTACAGGGGTTTTCCTATTTTGTCTTCAGGGCAAGATCATGCAAACTCTAAGTAGTTTCATTAGCATCCAGAAATACACAGGAAAAAAGTAGTAGTATTACATTGCTTACTATCAGGAACACAGTTCAAGTGAGAACAGCCTTAAAGAGGAGTCTGGAGGAAGGAAATAACTTTCTCCTGCAGAACAAGACACTTCAGTGTCACTGAAGCTCCTGCATTGGGCTAAATTTCTACTCATTTCAATTAATATTATTAAAAAAAACACTGTTTTTGCAAGGTTGTTTGCTGTTTCTATATGTACAATAATAAATGCTTAATATCAAACTAATCATTACCTGCCAGAAAACTTGAAATTCTCACCCCAGCAACTAATGGAAGCAACAGAAAAAAAAACAACTACTCAGATCACAGTCTCAGTCTGCCACGGAACCTGATGAAACTTTTTTTCCTTAAAATATATAAGTTCTTATCCAAAGACACTCTACACAGTAAGCCTCACAGTAGTCATCTTTTAAGGACTATGAATTAATTTGTGTTATGATTTCAGGCTTTGTTTATGACTCCCTAGATACTTCAAACCATATGTTCAAGTTGCTGAAACACATGGCAGAGATTATAAATACACAAAGCCTTCAGGTTTTAGACCCTTCCTTTCAAACATCCAGGAAGGTACCAAACACCTCTGGATTATAAAGCCACCGTTTACAAAGAAAAACAAAATAACCTCCCCCACAAATCACCACCAGAATTTTCAAGTATGCCAAGGACAGTGCCTTAATAAGCTCTTCAAGTCATGAAGACGTCTGTGGTTTCCTGGAGGTGGAAGTGCCACACGTCACTGTCATTACCTTACATTCCAGGAACAAAATGAGATTCCAGAAGAATTACACACTGTGATCACAGCACGTGACTCATGACACAAACCTTACGACAACAAACACACCAGGGCCAGCAGACAAGCTGAAACGCCTTAGCTTTGAAACTGACCACAATGCAAAGTTTCTCAACGCCCAGTTCTTTCTCCACACGGAGTCCTACCTTGGTCAGTTTTGGTTGCTGGCTTCCAGTTTTCAGCACTAATTACTGGCAGACAAACCTGCCCCTTTTCATCGATGTTAGGGTGATAGATCTTTGTTTTAAATGTAATCTTCGGAGGTTTGAATGGATATTCTGCTGGGAAGTTGATTTCGATTCTGAAGGCTCCTTTATCATATGGAGGATTGTCCTGCAACAAGAAGGCAGAATGTCAAGAACCTGTCATATTCAAAGAGACAGTTCAGAAATAGCCTGCTCCAGCCATCCATCTACCAAATGACTTCTTTTAAAGGCACTTTATACCAACACACATTGCCACATCTGCCTGTCAGGAAACACCAAAACCGACGTGTTAAGAGAGAGGCAACACAACCTCTACCTTTGCACTCATCCTGATAAAGCAGATTACCATTGTTCTGAAGCAGGCTGACATTTCTCCTGGTAAGAAAGCATCCAATCCCATTTACTGCAAACCCAAGACCCTACCTAATAAGTAGTTTTATCCCCAACTCTGTATTTCAAAAAACATCGTAAACCTTTCCTGAGCTGCAAACAGGAAGCCTGACAAGGAAAATTGGTTTCTCTAAACCCAGTTACTTTCTGTGCCTCACAACATGGTGGTACAAACAGCAAAGCCATCCGATCTGTCAGATTCCCCTATACCTTCCCAGAACGTTCCTGTGCTGACTACACAAAAATCTGCTAAGCATTTGTTGGTACTAAAGATAGATATTCACTGTGTCTGCTGATGAGAACATTCTGAATTTGTATGCAGTTTTAGCACCCACTCTTATTTGAAGGAGCATGATGAAAGAACCGTGAAGTAAGCAAAGTAGTTCTTCATGCTGGAACAGAGAACACGGTGCCCAGAATCTCATTTAGGAAACCTGTTAAGACTCTTGATACTAACTGCAGAAGAACAGCAGAAAAGAAATAAACCATTGCTACATTTAAAGCTTGTGAAAATATCATTCTGCACTGAAAACAGCAGCTACGGCATGAAGCCTTTCCAAATGCTCTGGGAACAAGAATCGAAGGATGAGAGTTTCCAGTTGGTGTAAAGTATAATGACACACACTCTTCATTAGTGACTAGACCATTCCCCACAATCAAACCCACTCCAGAAGTTAAAAAAGCTTTACCTGTATTGGGGGTGGGGAGCGTTCTATGCAAATGTTATTGAACAGAAAACATTTGATTTCAATTTTAGCCAAATGGAGAAGTCTGGTTGTGCATTTCTAAGACACATATCCCAACTTCTGTATTCAAGGGAAAAGATAAATAGTGGCCTTGAAAACTTTTTTTTTTTTTTTTAAATCCAATCAATCCTAAAAGTTTTGAAAGCTTAACAATATAACTTTTGGTGGTGGTGACAACCTCAGCAGTTAGTGCCCTGTCCCCCCACAGCTCACTTGTTCTTGCCTCCTTCACGTGCTATAATACGTGAGAATGATATGGGAACTGACCTGGCTTTAAAAGGTCCATTTTCTGCTTGACTTTCAGTCAAAACAGTACTTCACTATAGCTCACCAATAAATTCAGCCAAAATTTTAGGTAAAGGATTGTTCATGTTTTAAATAGACAAAGCAGAGAGTATCCAATCAATTAACTTCCATTTCTTTGTTAAATTTATTTTGACACTGATGAGGGCAAGAAGCAGCATTATAAATACTGAAACACAGGCAACAAACCTGGCTCACGTTGACCACTGTGCATAGCAAGCAGTTCTGATTAAATGAGGTGAAATTCATGGTGCACCAACAGTACCTCCTCAAGAATGAGAAGCCTGGGGTAGACAGCCCCATTCTGATGTTGAAAAGGTGCCCTGTTTGTCAGGTTACAACACCTAGTACATAACTACCGTACTCTACAATTTAGAGCAGGAAAAGCAGTTGACAAGCTATCTTCAGTCTGCTTCTCAACTGAGCAAACGCCCTTAAAAACTTAACAGTTGTTCCAAAAACCAAAACATCCTACATAACCAAAAACTTTTAATGTCCTATCTTTGGCAATAATTATGTATGAACAATGTTAAAAATATTAACCTTTGCATCTTTCACTTTTTCAGTAAGAAGCTGACCAAAATAATGTCTAGTTACAGAGCTTAATAATGAGTAACTGGTTAGTCCTTCTAAAGTATAAGTAATATGCATTTAAACCCTAAGCAAGAACATTTTCTAAAACGGAAGCAGCATGTAAACTTCCAAAGCAAAATCTTAGCAAAAAAATTTAAACTTGCAACCAGTTTGTATACTATATTTTTAACACATCAACTCCAACACTGCAATAGCTAAAAAATCCTATGCTAGGACTAAAGCCTTTTCTATAGCACATCCTCAAAATAATAAACTATACTAGACTTTGAACACACACAACATTAGTAACTACAGGGAGGATAATTTCATGGCAAAAGTCCCTCTTGAGTACCCCAGTGGTGCATGTGAGGCCCCTTGTGCAGGGCACACGAGACCCCGGCAGGCAGGGGTGAAGCAGGGCTCACTGCATCCACGTTTGAACACTTGACATGCCGTAAACCTTTGCAAAACAAACACTAAGCTCATCCTCTAGTGAGCAGAAACCGTTCAAAACAGATACTGTACACCACCTATTGCTAATTTTAACAGGAATAAACAGGCATTTTGGTGTTTTGCTTTTAGTCATTTACCGACCTTAAGAGCGCTTCAAAGCATTATCAAAGCAGCAAACTGCTACACACGGCCCGCAAATATCAGAGCGGCTCATTAGAGAGCATTGTTTCTCAGATCTGTCAAATTTTCATGTCAAACCCTGCTTGCTTTATTTGCAAGAGTAGTTTCAACCACTCAAAGGAATTGCTTGCAGGAATATAAGTAAACCGTAAACTAAATGCATTCTGCAGTGTTCGAAGTGCAAAGGCCTGGGATCTGAATTCAGGAGTGGCCTCCAACTAATGCAGCCCAGACCCTGCTGAAGAATGTTTCAAGCTCTTGTAATAAAAAGGCTGATTTACACTGGCTGGGGACCTTCTCAGTAGCACCCAAGGAAAAGCAGAACTGATGCCCTAGTGGCACAACCTCTGTTGCAGCAGACTTAAAAGCAGCTTGTGTAACAAAGGGCCATGGCAGTGGAAAATAAAGGAGGTGAAAATCCAAGTGACTTTCAACCAAGGAATTCAACACGCTAGATTTCCTGCTCTTCCCTTAGTAACAAAGCCATCTCTATTTGACTAGTACAGTGGTTGCCTGCTTCTATTCTATCTATTGAAAGACTTCAGGACTTCAGAAGAATCAAAGTGAGTTGTGTTTTTTGGGGGGCATTAATTTATACCTAAATAAAGATACTTTCTTTTAAAGAGCCAACTTCTGAAAATCCAAACCTTTTCCTTGTATCAACCTTTTCCCAATACTCAATTTTATCCTAAAAATACATCTAGTTGTTTTAATTAAAAAAAAAAAAAATCTGTTAAGGAGTAAAATAAATATTTCCTACCCCACTTCCCCCCCCCAGTGTTGATGCAGATCTTTAACTTTAAGCCTAACTTAATAAACTACAAACTTCATGTGCTTCCCCCTTCCAACACCTCTCCCAAATGCCACCGAGCCCACAGCCCTCTCCAGCAGCAGCCTGGTGTTGGACCAGACTCACAGTTCCAAAGCATCCAGGCAGGTATTTAATCAGAGAAGTCCAGAACACCTCTCAATTACATACAGATTCTTCTCCAGACTAGTTATGAGAAATACCTACTAATTTTACCAGACTTTGACAAAGCAAAACACAGAAGACATTCAAATAAAATAGGACAGGAGGGTCACACTATTGGCCCAAGATCCCACAAGAATCACAAGAGAGACAAATTAAACCCAGGAGCACACTTCACTGCCAGAGTATGTTTCAGATGGTGCAGTACAATCCATGCAAACTCCCGTTGTATTTATAAACCACCACCTTCTGCACAAACCCACAGCTCTGAGAGTCCCGTTTTGTAATAGTAAAAGATCCTTGTCAGGGTGCAAAATTACCTAACGATCCTCAGCAGCACTACTAAACTGTGGATTCATGAGATACAAATGATCCTCATTTTGCCTTAAAGCTCATTAGAATAAGGAGTAATCTATACTCACAGGAACAATAAGCCCTTGCCAGGTCAATAAATTAGCTTCATCAACCTGGATATTACGGAAGTTTTTCATTCCACACTTGCGGATTTCTTCAAGCTCCTGAAAAGCAAGCAGAGTGGTAAGTTAATAACAGCATTAAGCAAGATGCTCGTATTTATTTTTCAAAACGCTCAGAGGTCAGCGTGGGTTTCTTTAGTGTTAAAGGAGCTTGAGGTTTTAGTGGTGGCCACCCACACAAATGAGAAAAAATTTTGCACCTGGAGAAGTGTCTCACAGGTATTAAAACCTCCCTTTTTTTTTTTCAATACGCCATGAAGATACAAAAACACCTTGTTGTTAACATCATTACAGACATGATGAAGTCCAAGTACTTAAAAAGCACATTTAAAAATATTTTTATATCTCAAAGGCAAATCAGTGCCTTTGTTAACAGCCTAGTGATAACTCTGTGGCGCACAGAAATAGCGTACATCTTAGGACCTGTCTGCAGGAGAACAGTGATGCAGAAGAATTCTTTTGTAACTCTTTTACACACAGATACAGTGACTGAACAGGCCAATTAATTCAACTGAAACTAACAAATTCCTGCATGACAAGCTTAAATTGATGCAAACCCAGAAGAATATCCATCTAAGCCAAAGTTGCCTTGTTGGGACCAGTAGCTTGAGAAGACAGAGCTTTATCTCTGTCTTCAACCTCAGTCAACAGTATATGTTAAGTTGTATCTCTTTATAGCTGTATCACTCCTGAACAAGCAATCTTTCTGCACGAGTCAGTCACCAGTCAAACCATTTTTGATCAGTTAGTGATTCAGGTATCACTAAAGCAAGTATTTAGACATTTTTTTAATTTAAAATCATGTACAAGCCCTAGTGTAGCAACTGTTTCCTGAAGTATTTCATAAGACCTAAAAAGAAATACCTCAAAGTTCCACATTTTATTTCCCCCACTACAATTGCTGTTGAATTCAGTAATTGCATCTTTAGAGAATTTAACTAAATTCAGAAGTCATCCACAGTGAAATGTAAAACTTCCCCAGCACTTTCAAAACTGAGCACATGCCTGTGTGTCCACATAAGTTAGGAAAAATGTTGCTGATACAGCAGCTCTGGTGCCCTCTGCCAGCACACAGATTCTCACTGGGTGCAAGCAAATTCCCAGAGGTAAACTGTGTATTATGAAGGTAAAAATGCCAACTATGAGCAAAGGCACTATACAATGAAAACCAAAAAAGATCAGTTTTCCTGGTACAAGTGCTGCACTGTCATTTTTTTTATAAAATAACCCTATGGTCCTCTTAGATCAAATCTTTCTACATCTGACTGGTAGAGAATTATTTAATACTTGCAGTAATCTCTTGCCTAAATTTATCATGATGATAAAACGCAAACCCAAAGGGAAAACGAGATTTCCAAATGCACACGAAACACAAATCACATGACAGTCACACATCAGAAGCTGAACGTTCACATCCCCGCCCACTGCACCTACAGCAGCAAGAGCACAGCAGTTTAACCTTGGATTCTGAACTGATGCCCAACAATCCTCCCGACACTAAAACGGACTGTGGAGTCTAGATCTATGGATTAATCCCCAAATTCCACTGCTGCTAGATTTATGCAACATCACAGACAGTTGGGGTGTTCTTTTAAAAAAAGGGTAAGAGGATTATCCTATTTCCTTAAAGCAGGAAACAAAAATAATCCCATGAAGCACATTTAAAGGGATATAGAGCAAACCAAAATATTCAAAAGAAAATAACCTTTATTATCACAGCTAGGAGAGATCCGTTATGATCCCTGAAACTTCAAATCCATGCCCAGTGCCCCAGAGCTGGCTTTGAGTGCTCAGTGCACAAAGCAGCAGCTCGGGGAGCGCTGGACTGATTCCAGGCTGGCTCTTCCCAGCCAGGGTCAGGGGAGTAACTTGCTCCAAACAGCTTTTTGAGCTGCTCACACTCTACACACACAGAACCAAAGTCCTGGCAAACCACTACTCCATGGCATACAAAAGGACTAAATCCCATTCCACAGTAGATGTAACACATCAAACATTAGAAACGAAATAAGCTAATTAACCAGTAGTTATTTAAGCATGAACAAACATGCATGACAAGTGTCTTCACTCTAAAACAAGGAAAGGAAAATGGGTTTAGACAATTTCTAGCTAGCATATTAAAAACATTACACATATGAGAGACATCTCCCCCATAATGTCCCTTGACGTTTGTGTCCTGTTTCCAAGGGATTTGTGTAAGATAACTAAGGAAAGTAAGAGGAGTGTCAATGACTTTAAATTCTCTTCAGATGGTTTAGCCTATCTACTGGAAAAATTTACATGCTTGTCAAATTAGAAAATTGCCTTACGGATGGATTCGATGAATTACAGAAAAAACATTAATACTTCTAAAGAAGCCCTGCTGCAAATAGTATTATCACTCTTTTACCCTTATAGATATGTTTAATTTCAAAGGCATATTGTAAGTGTTGTTTGTAGTTTCACTTCTTTTCTTTAAATTAAGGTATAATATTATTTTTCCTAGCTGAATATTTTTGCAGCTTCCACGCAGCAGCTCTTCTCACAGGTTCAGAGGACAGCGCTACACTGCTTCTGGCCCAGAGAACAATTGCTCAGACACAGAAAAAGGGCGGGCTACGACTCTATAATTCAGGTATGTTATTAAGCTAATACAGCAAATTAGAAAAGCATGGCTTCACATTACTGGAAAATTAAACACCTACATTTTATAACTAGATTCAGCGTAAAAAAATGGATACTGAATTAAGAAATGCAAAAGCCCAGTACAGAGATTGTTACAAAATTGTAAAAAATTGTATGAAAGCAAAGTTACTCAAATTACTCCAAATTTTCTCTCAAGTCCACCACATCAGAGAAGGAATAATATAGCCTAGAAGTCACTGAAGAACTAGGAGGAAATGTCAGTTTAGGGAGGAAGATGTCCTGAAACAAGTAAAGCCTTTACAGGAATTCACTTTCAAAATCAAAAACGTGGTGAATTACTGGAAGGTATCAGGACTATGTCCCGTGCTCCTCCTCCTGCTGCCTCAGGTGCTGTGGTCACTCACAGCCAGAAAAGTGGGTGGCCGAGGATGGACCAGGCAGTTCTCCTCACACACAGGCAGGACTGCAAAGGCCACGGAGATTCAAGCCTAGCCGAGGACTTGCCTGGACCACGTGCTTAAGACAGCTTCCAATTTATAAGAAAAATTACTTTTTTATACTAGAAGCGTTTAAGACTTCATAAGCAATTCCAAATTAATCATTTCCACATTAGACTTATTACAAGCAACTTTTTTTCATACTATCCCCCCAAATGCAATGTAATACTATATTCACAAGTTATGCTTTTAGGGTTTTTGTGCCTAGTGCAGCAGGAGCAGTGAGAGACTCAGCATTCACAGTTGGAGGGTGTAACAGGGGGTTGTTCTGTTTTCTTCCTGGCACCTGCCAAAACCCATAATAGAGATCTGACTGCCTCAGAGCTACAGAGGCAGAAGTGACTACAGTATAAACGTGCTGTTAAAAAGGTTAATGAGCTACTGAATACTTTCAAACAGCACAGATTAAAAGCTAATACTGCATTTAGCATGTGCTCCAGCAACTCCAAAGGGACAAAAATTACTTTATGAGGTAAAAGGATATAGTCCAGATATTTATTTCAAAATAATACTTAAGGGTCTAGGCAAACAGCAAATAGATTCATTCCTTTTCTTGTCCTCCACCCCTTAATTTTGTCAAGTAACATAACTGAAGGAGCACAGGAGGAGTGTAACTAAAGGTTAGAAGACTGCAGTAAGAATCTCCACCAGTCATCATTCCCCACTCTGTTATCAGCCTTGCCCGTGACCTCGCTGTGTCGATATCCCCACCCCTAGAACAGAACTGTCTTACTCAGTGGTGCTCTCTGGAGAGGGGATGTTTGCAGCGTGGGTACATGCAGAAAGTGTCACACACAGCACGTGAAATAGCAAAAACTTTGATTCTGAGGTGGTACCTGATCTTCAAGTGTTATGCTGAAGGATAGTTACAGAGGTACCTACTACCTCTCATATATAATCAATAAGGATTTTAAATTTTTATTTTCAATATTGTGTGATCATTTGTGCTGTTCAAAGCAAAAATTAAGTGTTTGAAATTAAAAAAGTGAGTGACTTTGGTTTAAAATGTAGTTAAGTCTTTCAAGAACCCTGCAACTCCAACTCTTTTGTCCTTGCAGCTTTCAAGTCCTGGGACTCTGCAAGATACGGGCGAGACGGGAAAATGCAGTGAGGATAAACACTTGCAAGAGTGCAGCTCAGAAATACAGGAGTAAGTGCAAGAGCTCCTGCTGACTTCTGTGAGCTCTGCACCAAGGCCAAACGGCTATTATATCCACAAAGAAAAACCAGCCCACTGCAACAACTCCAAAGCATAATTCTCTAGTGTTTCCAAGTTATGCTTACCTGTTTACAAGTGCATTTTCTAAAAAGTGTGACAAAGTTAAACAGGCTCCAGGACACTGATAAGGAACTGGCCAGTTTTACTTCCTGGATCCCATACAGTACAGAGAAGTGTTAAAACACCTTAAAACAATTTCACAACATCCCCCCCAAAAAATAACCAAAACACTCAAATATATTCTAGCTTTTTTTGGAACTATTATTAAGTTTTCTCTGCAATATTACAACCCTGTATACTTGCAGATCTTTCACTCAGTGAGTAATTCTAGGTTTTGATGAAGTATTTTGATTAATCCTTTTGTCAGTTCTCAGTTTCAAGAAGGGACAATGAATCAGTATCCTCACTTCCGTATAAGGACGATCATACACTGCTCAAAATCACATTTCCCTTCTTACTGGCAGCCAGGGTTTGGATCAAATCAGAATTGTTTTTCAAATACCGAAGACGTTTAAAACCCATTTCTTTGCAAGGCTGCAGCACATTGGGGATTGGAGGCCACCTACAGCAGGCACCTGGGCGTGCCTCGGTGTTTGTGTTTTATCATGGAGTTCAACGGTTGCACAAATGTTTGACTATGCAATTATAGAAGCAGAGTAAAACCGAGATTAAAGTAATTGCCTACGTGTCTCACTTCATACGTGAAGTGTTATTTACTCTTTAACTCAATTCATAATACTGAAGATACCGCCGAGTCCCTAAGGAGCGTGACACAAAAGCGCAGATCTCACCAACACCTCCCAGCTCCCCCACAGCACCCCCCAGCCCCGAAGGAGTGACTCCACAGGCGGCAGAGGGCAGCCAGCTCACACCCTGCCTA